CCAATGTCAAACCGAGTATAGATTGCCGAGGAAATAAAATTTACTTTATAAGCCTCTTTTCAGGATCAGCGTCTTGTCTATATGAACGAATCTGCCGGGCAGGAAACAGCAAGTGGTAAAGAAAGCATGCACGACGTATTCCTGTTTCCTGCAAAATATTTAGTTGTTCTTCTTTAAGGTGATAATGCCGCACTTGGAAAACCTGTTAAACTTCCATGTCGAACAAGAGCAGGGTCGAGTGCTGAACAAAATCTTAACAACAAAATACTAGACAATGCTGTTACACTCTTGCTGAGAATAGCTTAGTGACCTTTGCGTCTCCACAGAAAATTAATTTATAATCAGGTATGGAAAACACGCCTTTGGTAAGTCTTTAAATGCAATAACCGTATAGACCCGAATGAACCCTGTATATAAAAGTCCCCGTTAAAAAGCCCGTGTATAACAGACACTCCCCACAAATAAGTAAATAAGAAAAGTATATCTACACCTATTTATAATTAGCAAATTAGAGTTCGCATATATTCTGACTCCATGTATAATAACCAATCTGCCGGGCAGAAAACAACAAGTGGTAAAACAAGCACGGCGTATTCCTGTTTCCTGCAAAATATTCAGTTATTCTTCTTTAAGGTGATAATGCTGCACTTGGAAAACCTGTTGAACTATCATGTCGAACAAGAACAGGGTCGAGTGCTGAACAAAATCTTAACAGCAAAATACTTGACAAAGCTGTTTCACTCTTGTTGAGAATATCTTAGTGACTTTTGCGTCTCTACAGAAGATTAATTAACAATCAGGTAACGAAGGCACGCCTTTAGTAAATCTTTAAATCACCACAAAGACCCGAATGAACCCTATATATAACGCACCCCCTTAAAAAGATAGAGAAATACATAAATGAATAAAATAAAGTGTATCCAGGACTATTAATCCGATCAAAATTCGCACGTTCCAATGAATGAACTACAACGCGTTGACTTAACACAGTGTCAGTACAGCAAGGGCCAGGCATCTCGACGGAAGAAAGAATACGCCGGCCTTTTCTTACCTAAATCAATTCAAAAACAGCATTCGATATTTTTTCTTAGTTGATTTGGGTAAAAATTAACGTTGGTATTTACGAAAAAGGGTAGCTTTCGATATTTTCATTTTTTGACGACGTAGAACCGTTTTCATTTCAAAGAAAACGGGGGCGAAGGAGATGTGAAGTGGGTGCAGTTCATCATATTTACTTCTCTAGCTATCAATCATTGCTATGGTGTGATAAAACTAAATTGAATTCAGAACAAAAACATAACAGAAATTGTCACAATATGTTTTAATAAATGTTTTAAAAATACGCAGTCTCGGTAAGAACAATAAACAACCTCAATACATGAGAGAACAGTTTCATTAGCTCTGTATGTATAAATTCAAATTACTGTTTTTCTTTTTATCAAGAGCTTGTAAAATATGTGGGTATTACCTCCAATATTTCTGTGACTGTCAGTCACCATCATCAGGGAGTAAATGACTAGGGTCATTTCACCTGGAATGAAAATCCAGGTCAATTGCCCCTAATCACTGGCCTTGTGTTGTAACTGAGCCGGGTTTATAAAAAATATAACATCAAACTCCACCATAAGCCAGGTTGGACGCTGAGACAAGCACTAGTGAAGCCCAAGGATCCTCTAACCCAAGGAGAGCAATGTGGTGAGATATATTCAGTCAAATGTGGAACCTGCCAAGGAGAATACATTGGCGAGACAGGAAGACCATTAGCCACAAGAATGAAAGAACACAAAGACTCAGTGGCCAAAAACAACTGGAAATCAGCCCTTGGAGAACATACCTGCAAACATCCAGGTCACCACATAGACTTTGACAGCCTGAAAGTGATAGACAGGGAAAACTGGACATTCCAAAGAAAAATAGCAGAAGCTGTACACATCAGGACCAAACAACCAGACCTGAACAGACAGGGGGGGTATGATTTACCAGCTATCTACCTCACGGTGCTCCAGAGGGATGCAGAGGAGCCCCGGGGGGAGCAAGTAACAGTTACAACACAAGGCCAGTGATTAGGGGCAATTGACCTGGATTTTCATTCCAGGTGAAATGACCCTAGTCATTTACTCCCTGATGATGGTGACTGACAGTCACAGAAATATTGGAGGTAATACCCACATATTTTACAAGCTCTTGATAAAAAGAAAAACAGTAATTTGAACCTCAATACAATTTTTGCAATAAAATATATGGGTAAGCTTGTTTCACAAAAAATTTCCTGGGCTAAGGTTTACACTGCTAAAATTGAAGATCCGACTACGCATTTAGTCAACCTTGTGATATCGGTTAAAAATTTATTTTCATTGATTGACATATAGTAAATGTTTGGACCTACTTAAATGAGCTACTGTCACCAGTGACAGTAAACAAATATTTAAATCGTGATGACGATCAGAATTATATCATTGGGTTCAGCTGATAGATCAAAATTAATGAAGCAATTAAGCGACCTTTAAGATTTTTATAAAAGACACTTTTGTTGTATTTTGTTATTAGAATTACTATTATTAAATTCATAGCAGACTTAATAATTTTATTAACCTTAGTAAGCTAAAATTGTAGCTAATGAACTAAATTACGTATTATTGTGAATCAGGCAATTGGGCTATGACAACTAATGTTGAAATAATTTGATTACAGTAACTTGTAGTCGATAGTTGACAAAACTGAATGCAACGATACAGTAGAAACATGAAAATTATTATAATCATTATATAAATTGCAACTAAAAGTTGGATTTTACATGTTATTATGAAGGAGTGATGCATGTTCTAAAACACATGGCATTAGAACATAAAAGAAAAATTACTGATCATAATATCAGATCAAAACTGCTTCTGGTAACGTACTTTGCTACAACTTTGAACACTGCAACGATATAATTAATAATATTTCATATATATATTAGCAATATTAAGTAAGGAATAAAATCTTAAATATAAATTGTCAATATATACACTGATTATTTTATCTCAGATTGCAAAACATTACAAGAACAAAAACAGACTGAAGTAATATCAAATACTATTTTTCTCTAAAAAACAGTTTTCACAACCCTTCTGTGTTTGTTGAGTAACTTGAAAATAACCTTATACACATACAAGTTTCTTTTATCTTAAATATTAACAAATGGACCGCACAGTGCTAAGATATACAATACCATCTAGACAGCAAAGCTGACAAATATACAGACACCATACAGGAAACTAGGCAGTAAAGCTGTCAAATGTTCAGACATTACGTAGAAAAAAGTGTTTGGGGTGGTCGGCTCATGTCTTGGTTAAACTACCTCTTATAAAAATAACACGACCCAAGCCTGGGCCTCTGGGGACGTTTGTTTTGACAGCGCCCCTAGTTAAAAGCTTTGAGAATATTTTCGGGACGCTCGAGTTTGAAGAAAAATGCTGATTACCTTGGATATGTTTATTCTACGTATGTGTGACGGAATGATATGATATATAAGTCTTTTTGATCTGATCTGATCTGAAGCCTCTGAGAATGCTAATGTGTGAAAATTTCACGCAAAAAAAAGAATAATTACCATAAATGTAAATCGACCATGCTTATTTTGGAAAGTAACCTGCCTTTTTACCAAACAAAGCCACTCAGTAAATTTAAAGTAAATCAAAAATAAGATTTAGTAGTTATGGGGCAAACGTCACCAAATTCGTGAAAAAAAAACGAATAATTACCGTAAATGTAAAATGATCATTCTGATTTTCGAAAGCAAACCCGTCTCTTTACCAAACAAAGCCACTCGGCTAATTTAAAGTAAAGCAAAAATACGGTTTGGCAGTTATGTGTCGGACAGCGACAGCGACGGCGACGTCACGGACAGACAGACCTATCAGAATATATATATATATATATATATATATATATATATATATATATATATATATATATATATATATATACAGTGTCTGTATATAAAAATAGACAAATCTGAAGGTGTTATTTAATAGTAAGTCGAATTACTAGAAAATGTGCTCTTCAGCAAAAAAGAAGATTATATGGCATTACTTTATAATGTCATGCTTATCAATAAATATAAATATCCTGATACATACTTACATCAATAACAAAGAACAATAATTACAATATAAAGAGAACTATATAATTACATTTGCAATGGATATATAACAATAACCCCTTGCGCAATAAAGTACATGAACTGAATCTGCTAGATTCAAAATCAGATATGTTAACCCAATTAAATGATAGCTCTAGGGGTTCGATACGTTAGGATTTTTCCTTATTCGCTTGGACAATACGGCAATTATCACTGTTATATAAGAAAATAATGCTGTCGCATGAATATAATAGGCCATTGCATAGGGATGAATTTGCTAACTCAAGCTGATGCCTAACAACAGCGGCTTTGGGTTAAAAAGTGTCATATCGATTTCGAGCAGATCTCCCTCACCTGAACAGGTTTGAACACCGTTCGAACGCTTATTTAATTACAACAGTAAGGATACAATCAATATTTTCTTCAAAGAATTAATAATGATGTAATTAAAGAGGCGAAACATTGCCTTTGTTTAATGGTACCACCGTAATTAGGGGTCGTGATTACCGAAGCATAAACCACCCAATGTGCAGAAGCGAGTGGGGTGATGAATAAGACAACAAATAAGGAAGTTTGTGCTCTAAAAGTGATTGATATTTAATTATCATCAAGAAAAGTGTTTCACAAGAAAAATCAGAGAAAAAAATTGCCAAATCTTGGTCTGTACAACGTACCAGTATCGAACCCCCGTAAAAAGGACACGTACTCTACACAATAACTAACCAGAAAAAGACTGTAACTGATAAACAAATCAAAACCGATGTAAGTCCCCCATCCCCTAAATTAATGTGTATAATCTTCATAACATATACTTGTTGCGTTCATGTGTGCATGTGTGAAAGAACGATCATACCGACCACCTCTTGCCTTAAACCGTTTACTCTACGGGCTTGCATTGGCATACCCCAATCATATATTTTCTGACACGTTTGTTCAAAATTCCGTAAATCAAGGGATTGGTGACTGAACTAAGCATCACCAGTTCGATTGATATGTTAAAAATAATATGAAAGGTCACTCTATTGTTAACAATGTATCTATCAAACGCCAACAGTAGCGTGTAAGGAATGAATAACAAAGTAAACGTACCTACTATCATGGCAGTCATTTTTGCCACTTTGACTTGCATTTCATCTAATGATCCTTTTGAGTTGGATTCCTCAGGTTTGACCGACAGGACTTTTCCTCCTCGAAATTCTTCTCTCTCCTGTTTGGTCTGGTTTTCTGTCTGCGCGGTAGAGGTACCCGGCATATTCATCTGAATGCTGTTCACTGGGTTGGGACTGGGACTGGTAGCGTATTTCTTCATATTCTGTCTTTGATGACGGACGCGTCGAAATATGGCGCAATAACACCCCAATGTTATCAAGAGGCAAATTGGCAGGTGCGGCGTCACCAAGAATCGCATGTGTGTTGGATTGATTATATTACCCTTGCACTCTTTATCTGGGGACCAATCATTCCAGCCAAACAAAGGAGGGATGGAGAGGGCCACCCCGTACAGCCATGTAAAGACTATGGCCGAGGTCAGTCTCTTTTTGGTAAATAGTTTTACGTGCTGGACATGTCGACAGATCTTAAAGTATCTGTCAAATGCAATTAATGTTTGGTGAAAAAGTGATATAAGTATCAGGCCGGATCCAGTGGCAGTCTTAAACAGACAAAAATATTTTTCGGATGCGAGATGACGTAACCCGGGTAAGTTGTCAACGAAATACACAGTGACTATGTGTATTGACATGCCAACGAGGCCAGTGACTAGATCCGCAATTGAGAGACTCATCAAGATGTAGTTTGTTGGCCCTCGAAGTTCCTTAAACTTTGCAAATGCTGCAATGAAAAGGCTGTTGCCAACAATCGTCGCAACTAACAGGCTGACTTCCACTGTGATGAAAGGCAGGCATGATGCCAGACCCGTGCACGCTGAAGCCACCGTCCACGTTTTGTTCAGCGTCATGTTGGCGTCCTCTGTCAAAAAATCTTCTTCGGCTGAATGGTTCAACATTTCGTATCTCTCCAATGCAACCAAAGTCAACTGTGAGATTTGATTTGCTTACTAGCTGGAATGTAGATATCTGCTTCCCGTTTCGTTTAGCAAAATATGCATTTATACCCGAAAGGAAAAAAAAAAATATAATACACAACTGAAAGAATATCATTGGTTGTTATGTCAATACGTCACATGTCTGAATCTGCACTGGGCGTTTTCCCCTGAAGGAGAAGAAGAATATTGAGGAGTGTTTGTATCAGAAAATATTCTCAGTTGTTTTTCAGTGACATCAAAATATTGTTTGGCTGGCACGCAGATTCCACAGTAACATTTGTGCATGCAATGTTACTTGAGGTGAAATTCTTTTAAAAATTGCTTTGCGCAATTATGCTCCCTTTCCAGAAATGTAACTTGCACATCCTAGAATTGGCATCTATTAGAGTGCATTCCCAGAGATTTAGATCGATCCATCCGGATCGACCTAACTCCCTTGGGGTTCAGCTAAATTGCAGTCAGCCGAGCGCGCACGACAGTTAATTACCCCCTTACAGCTTTTTGTAGGCGGGACAGACATTTAAGCCGGGTAAGCTGACAGTAATCTAGTGAGACTCCCCACGGGGATAAATCGATCTAAAAACTGTGGAAATGGGGTCTTAGATTTCCACATTTAGAGAGATGTACAGTTTTAAAAATGTCAGGCGCACAATATTTCCCCGTCCAAAAAAAAAAAAAAAAAATGATAATGAAACTTTCACGTTTATCTAAAACTACACCCTGTGGTTTATCATACTGTAATAGTTTTCCTTATAGCAACTTGTATAACCGTACAACACAAAACTTTTTCTTTGCTGTCTGGCAAAACATGAATTTTAACCCTATGAAATGGTTTGAGTTTATGGACCAAGTGTTTAGTCATCGTATTAGATCTTAAAATTATCTATCGATCATTGTGACAGCGAAAAGGGACACCAACTGGAAGGAAAATCTTTGTCATTATTTATGTGACCACTTGTTGTTCATCTTGTCATTCATGGTGGAATAAATGCACCGGGAAAAAAATATATTTTTGGATTAATAGATTGACCTTTCATATTATTTTTAACATATTAATCAAGCACCTGTTGATGCTTCACAAATGGTGAATAATAATCAAACTGCATTACGGAAAATAAGAAGTGATAAAACTACCTTTAAGTCAAAATGATGAAAACAATAATGAATTTTGTGGACCTTTTAACGTCCACCAGTCTAGCACAGAGTTTACATTACATTAATTACATAGATCAGGTGATAGATCACATTCCTGTTTTCGACAAAATATTTAGTTAATGATCTTGTCGAGGGTGATAATGCCGCAATAGGAGAACCTTCCGGAGTATCTTTTAAAGTATCATGTCGAACAAGATACAGCAGCGGCGAGTGCTGAAGATAATCTCTCAGACGCATTCTTGGCAATGACGCAAGCATGTTGACAAGACATTATCTTCGTTGACTTTGCAAATAAACTTAGGTATCTGAACAAGGTATGGTATTAAAATGTAAATGAATAATAGCATGTAAAAACTGCTCCAACTTCTTTCTGTAATGTAACATTTTTATTGCTTGTAACTTAACCATTTACCGTGTACTGTTTTATTATCATTCATATAACTGTAAAATCCTGAAGGTTTAATATTACCGTAGAAATGCGATTTAACATCATTTCAATCATAAATCGGCATAAAATCGGCGTTTGAAATCATCTCTAAAACGCAAAATCTAGCCTTCGCTTTAAGTGTTCTAACGTGCGGAAACCATGCAAGGAAATTACCTATTAGTACATGTGATTGCTGTAAAAATTACTCAGAAGGTGGAAAAAGCATGAAACTTAGCAAATGTTCTTTGGACTATGCTGATCATTTCCAAGGATAGTGCCAAAAATTTCAAAGGGTTGCTTAGCAACAGTTGCTAGGGAAGTGAAGTACCTAAGTCTCGGTCACAACCGGCCGTACGGGCTCTTACGGGCTGTTTGCGTCCAAATTTCCAGAAGCTCAAGTCCCACGCAATTCCTCCTTACGAAATTTCGAGTTAGCAGACAGCCCGAAAACACATGCGGAGGATGTTGGACATGTCCAAAAGATTCTACGAATAACCTGCGAACAGCGAGGCCGCAAGCGTAACTTGCTCCCTTCGCAAGGAGTTCACAAGTAGTTCGCCAGTGGGACGTGCGTGGTCCAAGACGCACGTCGCAAACAATGAAGGAGCAGGTGCCTTTTGCTTGTTGAGTACGGCGCACGCCCTCACAGCTAACGATCAAAGTCAATATCACACCAGGAATGCGTCGCACGTGCGCCACCCCCACTCTTGGAGCATAAAAGGCGTGCTCACGACGCACGCTCATGTTTCGCCGTTACACGTAGATTGTGCAACGTGCACAACAATTTTCAAAACTTTGAAATTTTGCTCGATTAAACTTCTAACATGCCTCCAAAAGGCAAGAGAAAAAAGCTTAGAGAGCAGAAAAGAAGGGAGGAGGACGAAGAAAGAAGGGGACACGAGGCAAAACTGACGTACGCCGTTAGTATAGTACGTCATCACAAGCGTGTGGGGCAAGTGTGAAGAAAAACTGACGCTAAACTACATTCGCCGTGCGTGCGTTGCATTCTCTACGTATTAGTGGTGAGTGCGTGCCACGTACGCAGGTAGCAAAACAAATTCAAGAAACGAGTACAATTTCCACGACCATCGCACTTGGCAATGCGCAACTAGCTTGAAAGGACATCTCACGTGGGACCTGTGACTCGGGACCTGAAACCTTCCTTCTACCTCTACGACCTCCACGGCCTCCACTGCACCCAAAATTCGTAGGGGACGTACGATCCTAAAATTCGTGCGTCCGGTTGTGATCGAGGCTAAAGTAACCCGTGTGAAAGCAGTGTGATCCCACTGGCTGACTAAATCTGTTGACACAACCTTCACGTGGCCAGTCTTCTTATAATGTGGAAATTTTGTCATTATTTTGCAGATACGAACTACAATGGTTGGACCCGCTTGGAACTGCCGCAATAGATTCTTTCGAAATAAAGCTCTATAAACTGCAAAGCTCTTGGAATAATTTATCAGTCGCATTTGATTATGACAACTACGGACATCTTCAGTGTATGTCTATGTATGGAAAATGATATTTGGGAGTTTGACGTAAAATCTTACATAATTTGACTGCTTACATTTGTTAAAAGAATAAAGAAATGAGAAAGTGTGTGTGTTTGTGTGTTTGTGTGTGTGTGTGTGTGTGTGTGCGCGCGCGCGCACGCCTGTGGAATGGGGGGGGGGGCACATATAATGAGGGCCAATTATATTCCCCCGTGTCCCAAAATCAATTTTCTAAAAGATGGTAAAAGGAAGCTTAATGAAGTTTATTGAGTAATTTTATGATTATAACGGAACACACTCAATGACATCATGTTTTGCAATAAGTATTCGGACCGCAGGGCATGGAGAGAGTGCCATCAAGAGAAATGAAGAGCCATTTCATTGTGCGGTAATAACTTTTTTGTATCATTTTGATATTTATAGATATGATTTTTGTTAAAATGGAGAAAGACAAGCTGAAAGGCGTATGTATAATTTTGAAAAATATATCTCTGACTCAGAATGCAAAGCTGGTCATATGAGTAACAGCTGGTAAGTCACCCCGTATAACTGATCTAAGCGGCACAGCACCACTGCACGTGCTCCCTTGTTATATTTAGCGATGTTGAAAACCCAGCACTGCCTGAATACCTGGTAACCCAGGGTGACAATGGCGGACTACCTTTAACAATGGAATCAAGACAGCGCTTGTTAGTCAGTGAAGGGGGAGGGGGGGTCGGTAAAAATTCTGTGCTTCAAGTTTGACATCGAAATTCGGGTAAAAAGTATCTTAGCAGCCTAAAATAATCTGCAAATGAAAACGTAACCGGTAACATGTTCAAAGATATTCAAACTGTTTACATTTTTATTTGGTTTGAAACCTGAAATCAATAGCTGGGGAGAAGGGATGACTTATTCTTATTTTCATAAATGATTAGCCTTTTCCTTTCTCCTGGTCTGTCTGAAGTTTCTTATTTTACCGTAACTCAGCGTCTATAAGATGTGTACTACAGGCGGTACGACCTCAAAATAATATACGTGTATTGTAGGCCATCGGCAGCTGCTCCCGCCCCCCGCCACCCCCGAGATCTTTGGCCTCAGAATAGGGGACTAACTAGTCCGAGGGTACAATATGGCCGACCCACGTGCAATTGAATACTTCCCCACGGATTATCTATTTAGTGTCTAGTTTTGTGGTGTTTCGCCATATTTGACCCTCGGTACTAGTTGGTCAACTATTTTTAATGGGACCTTTAAGGTTTATTTTCGTTGAATACGATGGAAGAATTGATTTTCCCTTCTCACAATAAGCAGAATAAACAAACNTGAAAACCCAGCACTGCCTGAATACCTGGTAACCCAGGGTGACAATGGCGGACTACCTTTAACAATGGAATCAAGACAGCGCTTGTTAGTCAGTGAAGGGGGGGGGGGGTCGGTAAAAATTCTGTGCTTCAAGTTTGACATCGAAATTCGGGTAAAAAGTATCTTAGCAGCCTAAAATAATCTGCAAATGAAAACGTAACCGGTAACATGTTCAAAGATATTCAAACTGTTTACATTTTTATTTGGTTTGAAACCTGAAATCAATAGCTGGGGAGAAGGGATGACTTATTCTTATTTTCATAAATGATTAGCCTTTTCCTTTCTCCTGGTCTGTCTGAAGTTTCTTATTTTACCGTAACTCAGCGTCTATAAGATGTGTACTACAGGCGGTACGACCTCAAAATAATATACGTGTATTGTAGGCCATCGGCAGCTGCTCCCGCCCCCCGCCACCCCCGAGATCTTTGGTCCTCATTCAGAATAGGGGACTAACTAGTCCGAGGGTCCAATATGGCCGACCCACGTGCAATTGAATACTTCCCCACGGATTATCTATTTAGTGTCTAGTTTTGTGGTGT